TGAACTAATAGCCTCCTGACTCTAAAGGCAGGCATTGATGGCAATCAATTGGGAGGGGGCCCAATGTTTTAAAGTTATAAATGTGATTGTAAGTAACCTGTTAACCTTCAGGCCAGACAAACGGACCATCAGTTTAAAACTCATTGTTTGAAGAAGGTTGTAAATAAATATCAGTGACTTCTAATGTTATCTAACCATTTTAAACTTACTTTGGACCCTGGTGTGCTTATTTTTGTTGGCCCACTTCAATAAATTGGATAAATTAATTATATTATGTTTTCAAAATAACGCAGCAAAATCCAGTGCCACACAGCTAACAAAACTTGTTTATTCTACTTAATATTTTTTCAAGAAATAGCAAATAATTTTAAGATTAAAGATTATTATCGCGTATCCTGTTGTTATAGTATTATGATTTGTCTTTAATTTCACTGAAGGAAGAGCAGGCAAAAGTGGTGAGAGAGTATAAGAGTTATGTATGATTTTATGTTGATCGGTATGAACCCATGATTAAGAACCCAATCTTTAAAAAAAAAAAAAAGTACGCTTCCTAGCATTATTAGTGGTTTCATCAGTATCACTGACTTACAATTTCTAATTTTTTTTTTTTTTTTTGTACTTGGTATCATGCTCACCATCCCTTTTTCCCTTTTCTTTGGTAAGCTCGCTCTTTCATTTTCCTCCATCCCCACCACTGGTTCACAGACAGAGATAAGGAAATTGTGAAAATACATCCTTAACTTTAAATGCAACAGATTTGACTATAAACTAAAATCTGTGACTTGCCATCTAAAATCAGTCTGCTGCTGATACTGTCAGCTGTAAGCCTACTGGTTGCTTCTTTGCTGAAAAGGTATGGATGGTAAGGAGCATGGAAGAATTATATAAAGTCTAGGAGTATAGATATTTTAACTGAGTCTCTTTTAAGGCAAGAATGGCTTTTCTTAATGTAAAAAGGAACAACTAAAAGCATGCACTCTTTCTTGATTTAAAAAGGCTTTCTGTATAAAACTTGGTAAGTGTCACTGAATAGCAGGGGGGTTGTATCTACCAGTTTAACTAGAGAAGGTGGATGCTCTTCTGAAATTTGAGCTTCTGGGTCAGCCAAGGAGCCCAGTAGAAAGAGAACTGAAGTTACTCATGAAATAATCTTGGCCGATAACCTTAGGAGTAGTTTATAATAAAACAAATGCATTTCAGTAAGCACACTTAGATTTTTATCAAGGAGAAGGAAACTATTGGTAGATCTATCTCTCTAGAGCAGTATTTTTGAAAATCTTTGTCTGCAGAGCACTAAGTTACTGGTAAGCACTTAGCTTACTGGTTTTACTTGTGAGCTGAGAATTTGGAAAGAAGTATTTCTTTAACCCTGATAAGTTTAATTTAGAAACTCTTGTAGATTATTACTGCAAATAATGTAAGAGTCAGTAAAACTAGTAATGCTACATAACAAAACTATTTTTATTTTTGCTTTTTTTAGTGTAAGTTTTGACAATGACAACTGAAGCTGGCTCAGAGACTGAAGTAAAGAAAGATTCTGAGCAGCTGGGACCAGACAAAGCCAAGGACAAGCCTGAAGAAGCATCAGAGACTCCAGAAAATCAAAAGTCCAGGGAAACAACCTCTGAGGAAGCTCAAGATTCTTCCTCTGTCCCAATACCAACTAGCCAAAGTAGTCCAAGTAGCCAGAAGAAGGAAAAAGCTTCACCTGAAAGCAAGGGTATTTCTCGTTTCCTTCCCCCCTGGCTTAAGAAACAAAAATCATACACCTTGGCAGAGCCGAAAGATGAGACCAAGAAAAGGACCACAGGGGAAGAAAAAGTAGTTGAAGAAAGTGAATGCCAGACAGCAGAGGGAGTGGCTCAGCCAAAAAAGAGCTTAGAAGATGCAGCGGCTGAAAATCAGCATAATGCTAAAGCAGACGACAAAGAAGAAAAACATTCTGTTAGTAGTGCTGAAACACAGGTACGTGTAGGAACGCTAATGGATGCTTTGGAGTAATTTTAATGAGACCTGATTCATGATTTATGTAATTCATGTAAGGCTTTGTTAGGATCGTATCGGGGAAAAAGTGACAGCTACTATCTGGCCTTTTGTGCAGCTGGGTTGATACAGTTATAAGTAGCATAGCTGGTAGCATAGCTGGTTTTAAAGGTTCTTGCTCTGTGGCAGACCATTTTTTTACTCCAGTTGTTCTAGATGTCTAATTTTAGCGTAAGCTCACACTTTGGCATAGTTCAAAGGAACATTGAACTGTATCATTGTGGTAGAAATGACCAGGGATAAGAGGAGAAGCTTCTTAAGTCAACTTTGTCTCTGAAGCCATTGGATCACAAGAATACCTCCTTAGTGACTTAATCCATTTGTTATTTGTTGTGGTTATCTTTGAGTCCTTATCTCAGTTTTTGTTATCCTTTACCTAGAAACCATGCTTGTGGTCACTGTCCTTATTGATTCATTCTGGGAGGTTGGTGCTGAGTTCCAAGACAAACGCCACCTTCTGCAGTACTCCAGAGTCTTGCTTTTTGAAAAGTTGCATGTCAGTTCCTAACACTCAAACCTCACATTCTAGGGTGGCGAAGATGATCAAGGGTGCAGAGAATCTTTCATATGAGGAGGGGCTGAGAGAGCTGGTACTGTTCAGCCTGGAGAAGAGAAGGGTCAAGGGGAATCTTATCAATGTGTATAAATACCTGAAGGGAGGGTATGAAAAGGAGCCAGACTTTCTCAGTGGTATGCAGTTAAATGACAAAAGGCAATGGGCACAAATTAAAAACATGAAATTCCATCTCAAATCAGAAAAAAATCTTTTTTACTGTGATAGTGGGTCAAACATCAAAAGACGCTTAATACCTTTGTTGGCGACATGGACAGTGGGATCGAGTGCACCCTCAGCAAGTTTGCTGACAACACCAAGCTGTGTGGTACGGTCAACATGCTGGAGGGAAGGGATACCATCCAGAGGGACCTTGACAGGCTTGAGAGATAGGCCCGTGCGAACCTCATGAAGTTCAACAAGGCCAAGTGCAAGGTCCTGCACGTGGGTCGGGGCAATCAAAAGCACAAATACAGGCTGGGAGGAGAAGGACTTGGAGGTGTTGGTTGATGAGAGGCTCAACATGACCCAGCAATGTGCACTTGCAGCCCAGAAAGCCTACCGTATTCTGGGCCGCATCAAAAGAAGCGTGACCAGCAGGTTGAGGGAGGTGATTCTCTCTCTGTATTGCACTCTCATGATACCTCACCTGGAGTACTGCGTCCAGCTCTGGGGCCCACAACATAAGAAGGACATGGACCTGTTGGAGCTGAGTCCAGAGGAGGGCCACAAAGATGATCAGAGGGCTGGAGCACCTCTTCTATGAAGAAAGGCTGAGAGAGATGGGGTGGTTCAGCCTAGAGAAGAGAAGGCTCCGGGGAGACCTTATAGAAGCCTTCCAGTACCTGAAGGGGGCCTACAAGAAAGCTGGAGAGGGACTTTTTACAAGGGCATGTAGTGATAGGACAAGGGGTTATGGCTTTAAACTGAAAGAGGGTAGATTTAGATTAGATATAAGGAAGAAACTCTTCACCATGGGGGCGGTGAGGCACTGGAACGGGTTGCCCAGAGAAGCTGTGGATGCCCCATCACTGGAAGTATTCAAGGCCAGGTTGGATGGGACTTTGAGCAACCTGGTCTAGAGGAAGGTGTCCCTGCCCATGGCAGGGGGGTTGGAACTAGATGATCTTTTAAGGTCCCTTCCAACCCAAACCATTCTGTGATTCTATGAAACACTGGAACAGGTTGCCCAGAGACATTGTGGAGTCTCCATCAGTGAAGATACTCAGAACCCAACTGGATATGGTCCTGGGCAAACTGCTCTAGGTGGCCCTAGAGGGGTCCTAGGTAGGGGCATTGCACTAGATGGTCTCAAGAGGTCCCTTCCAACCTCAACCACTCTGTGATTCTGTATAACTTGACTTTCATAAACACTGGTTTTTAGTTTTGTATTATTCCTGGAGCTTCTTTGTTTCTGTTAGGAAAAAAGCCAATAAAACATTAAAAAAATTGTCTCATTTCAAGGAATGGAAAAAAAGGCACCTTCTGTGGTTTGAGAACATGAATATCTGGTCCCCAAAGGAAAACCTTAATGCTTATACTGGTTATTGTGCTTCCAGTATGTGGATAATTCTAATGAAAGCTTAATGTCTTATTTATTAGTAGCTTATAAAATAAACGAATAAGTTAAAAATATTCACCTTCCTGAGTTTCAATCATTGTTTAACTGTATTTTACATAGCCTGCCAAAGAAGATGGTAAAGAAACGGAAGTAGAGAAAGTTGCAGAGGAAAAGGAAGGAAAACAAGAAGAAAAAGAAAAAAGGGAGACAAAAGAAGTGCAGACAGCTGAAATTAAAACAGAAAACATTCCTCAGAAGTCTCCCAAGAAATATAAAACTGTGCAGTCTAAAGTGATGCTTCTGGATGGCACGGAATACAGCTGTGACCTAGAGGTAAGCCATCAAGTCTCTATATAAAGAGCTCTTTTTCTATAGAGAAAAAGAAAATTTGCTTTCTGAGAGTTTAACAAATATATTTTTTGTATATCTAGTGAGCTCATTACAATGTTATATTCACATTGCTATCATCACGGGCCAGTTAGCATTTCATTTTAAAACTCCATCTTTAAGACCTTATCAGATTATCCTTTAAAATGCACTCTGAGGTACACTAGCAGATAAGATAAAATGCAATATACAAATCCTTTCAATGATGATTGTTTGACAGCTCAAACTTGATGTTTTTGTGAAAGATTAAGGTTTTCCTGAAGGTAGTGTCACATGTACTAACAACTTGAAAAAAAAAAAAAAAAAAAAAAAATTTATGAAGTTGTGACAACTTTATCTCAGCTGGAGAACTAAAGTTTAAAAAGTTTGCTTCAAAGAAGAATTCTGTTACAGGTATAAAATACATATGTGTATTTAAAGTTATGTCCTAGTTTCAAATTTTCATGGCTGCATGGATTGCTTGTTTACAACTGTAAATTGATGGGTTAGATATAGTGTGTATTTGTCTGTTAAATCTGACTTCGGATCACTAACAGAAATAGGGATTGTGAGCTAAATGGAAAATAGCTTCTTGGCTTTAATATCCTTTGAATATATATACACACGCTCTTTCAGTCTGACCATAGTGTCCAAGTTCTAAGTCAAATAATAGTTGTTTGATATTTTAGATCAAGATTAAATTATGAAACATGTAATTACATGAAAGGAGGAAAGAAGTTGCATTCCGAATCTTATTTCAGTGAAATAACCTTTGGTTTGATTTATTATGAGAATTTTTGAGTAAGGTAGTAAGTAGATCTTATCAGCAGATTATTTCAGGCTAGTACCATCTACCAAAAGATGCCAGTCAATTCAGTACAAAGGTGTAGAGGCTGTTCTCTATTAGAAAGTTCAATTGTAATCATTTTTGCCGGTAGAAGATGCAGCACCAACTATTATACACTGTCTGACTTCTTCAGGCACGCTTTTGAAGAGTTGGGAATTGTTTTAACTAGAAACTCCCTATTTCATGCTGGATTGATGGATACTCCAGAAATAAGCTCATTTATTTAATACTGGGATATGGTGCCCCCTTGGAAAGAAGACAGTGTTCCTTGTAGGACAGCTTATATTTGGAAACCATAATTCCAGCCAGTCTGTTGTAAGACACATTAAAATTTGCTTAGTTCTATTTTGTAATTCCAGTAAACTTTGCAGACACTTGAAAACCACGTTCATAGTGCCTGAAGACTTTAGCTTTGTATCTCAAAGGTTGTGTAGGTGATATTTTCGAAAGTTCTTCCAGCTAGTAGCACCAAAGGCAGATTCTAATAATGAGGCTTGGTTCCCTTTAACAGCTGCATCCCAGTCCTAAAAAACCCTCTGCTCTTCAGCAGTTGCTTTCGCAGGACAGGAGCTCTAAGCTGTTCTTGGGTTCAATTATTTGTAAACCTCTGGGAAAAAGAGGAATCCAGTGAATTAAACACCTGGTGAAGTCTGGCTTTCTGATGCTTCACTTCTAGTTGTTGCTTCCAGTCATAGTCATTTCTCTTTGAAATTTGTCTCATTGCTGTTTGTTCTAGTCACACGAGATGGCTGTGAGGTGATGAGAAGTTTCTATGGCCATATAAGCTGCTAGTTTAGAACATCAAAATTTTCATTTATGGGTTCAGTAAGCTAAAGATGTGACCAAGCAGCATGATATGATTCAGCGTGTTCTGCACAATGGTACCTAATGCGACACCCACAGCAAGTAGACTTTTAAGTGAGTATTAGCACCACAATGCACTGGTAGTTATGTGGAGAATTAATATTTGTTCTCAGTGGTGATAGGTTTCTTCACTAAAGTCAACTCCTCCTTTACATTTCCGTCTTATGCTTTGCACTAGAGTATCCATTTGTTTGGAATGGGGGAAAAATAGTTGTTCTAGACTACACTTGTGAACATAGTTGTTACATTTTGCATGATGTTGTAACTAACTGATAAGCTGTGGTGCCTTGACTGAATATCTGAGTTATGAAGGGCCATTAAAATTTGCGCCTTTGCTAAAACCAGGCATCTAGATATGCCTTTCAAATTGATCTAAGGATGAAAGAGTGGTGATGTTACGGCCCTTCCTAGACCCAGCTGATTCCTTGAAAATACTCCCATTTTTGTCTAATGTAAATTGTTCAATTTTTGACGTAGTACACACATTACAAGTCATGCGGTAGTGCAGGCTTCTGCTTGAAGCCTTTTGTCTTCTCGTGCTTCTTTCCAGTGTCCGTCACTCAGTCCCTACACTGTTTGATTGTGGTCTTCTGATTATTTGTAATAAATAAGACTTTGCTGTAAGAACAGAAGCAAAAATTAATTAAGGAGGAGGACAGAGTAGAATAGAAACAATCTGTTTTATATGTTCATTTGAATCATTTATAGGACATGAGCAGTGCTGACTGCAATTTTATAAATGAACTCATGTTCTTAAATACATGTAGAGCTATTTATGCTCTACTACTGTACCAAAATATTAAAAGTCCCAGAAAGTTGCTTCAACTGATAACTGAAATTCCAGTTTGTGCTCTCTGCAGTGGATCCTAGTAGATCAATTTCTGATACTGACCTTTTCTTTAGTCTTCCTTTAATATTTAGTGTTTGGGTAAATGTTGGTTTAATTTCTGCTTTACAAAGTAACAGAAATTTATAGAAGATTTAAAAAGCAAGTAAACAAAAACTCTGCAGTCTAAGCACAAAATGCAAAGCCCAGGTTACCTTGCTTGACTTTCTAGCAAATTGGGTTTTAGTTTGGAGGAATTTCCATGGTTGAGACATTCCTGATGCTTCTTCCAGTTTTTACTATGCACTGTAGACCAACTTCATTATATTTTATTTACATTAGAGACACTTCTTTAAATATATATACTTGCTAATAAGGAAGTAAAACTGAAAAATACCTTGTTTTCATTACTGTTATTTTACAGACAGCTTTTGGTAGAACCCTATCTTTTTCTAATTGCCATCTTAAACCTTCGTGATAAATCAGTAATAAAATCTGAGCTAATACACTATTTCTTGGGATCTTTTCTGTTTGAGTTACAATCACATTCCTTTTTTTCTTGTAGAACTGCATCAATTTATATTCACGTAACTTAAAAGGAGTGTGAAAGAAGACAAAATATGACCCAGCAATTTATTCTGTTAGATTTTGTCATTGTTCATTCTTATGGCATGTGTCTTTATTTAAGACAATAGCTGGGAAAGGGCATAAAAGAAGATAAAGCCATGATACAGTAGCTTCAGTGTCAGCATGCAGATCAATGCTGTAGTTAGTATTAGCTGATAGGATTCTCAGCAGTAACTAAATACTGAAACTTTTGTGACCAATTAGTAGATACAATACTATACAATTAATTTGTAACAGTCGTGTAATCATAATGTAAGAGGACTTGATATGAGTTCAGATATTATATACCTTAGATTCACTAGAATCTTAATAGATAATCTTGACGTGGATCGTAATGCTTTGTTTCTTTAAAAAAAAAAAAAAGTACTGATGAACTATTCCTAGTCCATAAGCTGTTTTAGTCAGAAAAACTTTACTTTTCCAGCTTGATCATCTTCTTATCAGTAAATAGCTAATAGCAAAAGCCTGAAGATGCAATTTGGAAATTAATGGAAAAAGGGAGGGTCAGGTTAGGGAACATTTAAACTAGAGATAAAAGTCCCATGGGACCTTATGGGATGCACCCACGAGTGCTGAGTGAGCTCGCTGATGTTAGTGCAAGGCCATTCTTCATCATCTTTGAAAGGTCCCAGCAGTCAGGGGAGGTTCTTGGGATTTGAGGGGGGAAGGGGAAGGGGAAGCAAATGTCATTCCTATTTTCCAGAAGGAAGTTGTGGGAAATTTCAGACTGATCAGTCTCACCTCAATCCTTGGGAAAGATTATGGTGCAAATAATCCTTTCCAAACTTCTAGGAAAAGAAGGTGCTTGGCAGCAGTCAGCATGGATTTACAAAGGGGGGACCATATCTTCTACAATGTGGTGACTGGCTCTGTGGATGAGGGACAAGCTGTGGATATCATCTCAGCTTTAGCAAGGCTTTTGACACTTTCCTATGATTGTTCTAGACAAACAGATGTTGTATGGGCTAGGTAAGTGGACAGAGAGATGGACTGGAAACTGGCTCAACTGCTGGGTTCAAAAGGTTGCCATCAGTGGCCCGAAGTCCAGATGGAGGCTGGTCACTAATGCTATACTAAAGGCATTGATACCATGGCAATTAATGGCCTGGATGATGTTACAAAGTGCATCCTCAGCAAGTTTGTAGATGATGATAAAACTGGGAAGAGTGGCTGATATATCAGAGGGACCTGGACAGGTTGGAGAAATGGGCAGACAGGAATCTCGTGAAGATCCACAAAGAGAAATACGAAGTCCTGCACTTGGGGAGGAACAACCCCATGTACCAGTACAGGCTGCTCAGATTGGCTGGAAAGCAGCTTTGCAGAGAAAGAACTGGGGTGGTGGTGGTGTCCTAATGGACAACGGTGACCATGGGCCAGAAATGGGCCCTGGCAGCAAAGAAGGCCAACAGCTTCCTGGCCTGCAGTAGGAAGAATGCTGGCAGCAGGTTGAGGGAGATGGTCCTTCCCCTCTGCTCAGTACCTGGTGTGCTGGGTCCAGTTCTTGGCTGCCCAGTACAAGGGAGACTTGGACGTGCTGGTGAGAGTCCAGCAAAGGACTGCAACATGCTTTAAGCTTCTGATGTATGAGGAGGGACTGACAGAGGTGGAACTGTTCATCCTGGAGAGGAGGAGGCTCAGGGAGGTTTTAGCACTGTGTACAAATACCTGGCTGGTGGTTGAGTAAAGAAGATGGAGCCAGGCTCTTCTCAGGGGCGCCCAATGATAGAATGAGAAGAAATGAGTGCAAACTGAAATACAGGGAATTCCACTGAAACATGAATGTGAGGGTATATTAATTGA